CTCGTTGAATCCAGAGGCCATGATCTGTGTCTCGTTGAATCCAGAGGCCATGATCTGTGCCTCGGTGGATCCAGAGGCCGTGATCTGTGCCTCATTGAATCCAGAGGCCATGATCTGTGCCTCATTGGATTCAGAGGCCATGATCTGTGTCTCGGTGGATCCAGAGGCCATGATCTGTGCCTCGGTGGATCCAGAGGCTTTGATGTGTGCCTCGGTGGATCCAGAGGCCATGATCTGTGTCTCGTTGGATCCAGAGGCCATGATCTGTGCCTCGGTGGATCTAAGCAGCAAGAACTCCTCGTGTGGCCGCACAGGCCTCATGCCAAGGAGCTGAGGAGCTGAGGCCTCAGGGAGATGGGAGTGACCGGGCCTTGGGTGCCCGGTGTGCCAGACAGGACTTAGTTCTAGGCCAGAGTTGTGCCGTGTGTAAAACACCTGTGGGGTTTTATCTTTGTGTGTGCAGTGTCAGCCCCGAGCAAGTCTCTAGGGAGGAGGAGGCGGCGACTGGCCCGAAACAGGTTTACCATTGACTCAGAGGCCGTCCACAGCAGCAGCCCCGAGAAAGAGCCCGCGCAGGGAGGGGACACTGATCGCTGGGTCGAGGAGCAGTTCGACCTGGCGCAGTACGAGGAGCAGGAGGACATCAAGGAGACCGACATCCTGAGTGACGACGACGACTTCTGCGAGGCGGCGCGCGGGGCGCAGCGCGAGCTGCGGGAGCGGCTGCAGGCCACGTCCCTGGCGGGCGGCCAGCCGCCCGAGCGGCCCTGCCTGCCCGGGGACACGCACACCAGCAGGATGGCCCAGCTGAGGAAGCAGGCGGCCCTGCCCACCATCAACGGTGCTGCCGAGGGCCACGGTGAGGAGGTCATCTGGGTGCGGCGGGAGGACTTTGTGCCCAGCAGGAAGCTCAACACCGAGCTCTGAAGCGGCCCGGCGCTGTAGGTGTCCCTGAACCCCTCCGTCCCTCCCGTGATTGCACACTTGCACACACCCTTGCGGCAGCTCGACTGGTCTGAAGCCATGTGGCCACGCTTTAGGCGACTGTCAAACGCTCAAAAACTGGGAACGAAACGAACTTGAGGTCCTGTCTTACGTTAACCAAGGGCTTTCACACTATTTTATTTATTCTAAAACAATCAGGGGCTGAAATTGAGTATGGGGAGAACATAATCACTGGAAAAAAAATTACTCTGGGTGTCTTAACCTCTGTGCAGCAAATTGGCTCCAGCAGGAGCACGAGGACAGAGGGATTGGTGACAGTGACAGCCGTCGGTGGTAGGCTCATCCCCTTCACAAGGAAACTGCCTTTTTAACCTGTACAGTCACAGTATTCTGACTCCCTTTCCCTCTCTAAATGTAAGAGAATATTCATGTATTTTAGGAACGTGTGAGGAAAGGTTTGGGATTCATGTTGTGTTCAGTCCTCTTGGTCTGTGGCTGGTCTAATTTAATGTCAATGTTGGAAGCTCTAGTTTTACATACTCTTGTAAAGATGCCAAACTCTCTTAAAAGAGATCCAAATTTAACACTTGAAGTAATATTTTTTTGTATTTTACCTGAGATGCAGGGGCACAAAGGGGTAAGAGATTTAGGTAGCTCCACGTCTAGGATACGAGGCTAGCTTTTTGCAGAGGGTTAGGAATGGTGGTTTTATATTAAAATATTAACTGGAAACTCTTATTTAGGTATAACTTTCTTCAGGAAAAGGTTTATTGTATATGTTTGAGATGAGTTTAGTTAGCTAATAAAAAGAATAATAAATAAAATTACATGACTGAATTGCAGTGGAGGAAAGAGATCTGTGATGTACCCTTGCTGGAGCCACAGATCCCTTTACTCTGCTCTCTGGCAGAATTTTGGCTTAGGGGACAGGGAATACATAGCCAAAAAACTGACCTCACCCACTCTCCTACTGTGGGTGAAACTAGTGTATTTTAATTCCTTTATACAAGCTTTTCCACTGCAATAGAGGATGAAAAGAGTTTTACACACTTAAACTTCTTTAACATTTTAAATCTTCTATTTAAACATCTAAAACAGGGTAAAAATGTGACTAAAATCTTGTGGTTTTTAAGCAGACTTCCAAATACAAAACACAAAATAGCACTTTTTTTTTTTAGGATTTATATAGCTGTCCCCATTGCAGTGTCACCTATAGGAAAAAAAAAAAAAGGAAGATTATATGAAATTTTGTTTCATTTTGTTGGTATCTATTGATGTTTGACACATCAGTAGGTACTTTGAGAACCTGAAATTTTATAATAGCCTTAGGATTATATTTTATAAAATCCACTCTGACTATATTTTAAAACGTAACAAAAATTATCTCCTCCCCCCAAAACATCCATCACTGTCTGTGTGTCCCAGCTGGCATTCTCCCCTCACCCCCTCCCTCCCCTGGTTTCTGGTGCACTATACTTGACTTATGAAAGCTTTCTCTAGTAACTTTTTGCTATCTCCTGGTTTCTTTTCATAAGAGCTTTAGAAGAGTTTCTACCCCCTTTGTATGATCACATGGTTGTTTTTGTACCATCACCTGTTGGTCATGTCCCACGTGCTGGAGGGTTTGGCTGTCCTGGGCTGCTCCCAGAGGATGCAGTCAGCACTCGAATACTGGAAGCAGGTACTGGGAAGGTACCATGGCTCTTGTACATAATGTCATGACATGTCTATGTCAAAGGTTCTTATATATTTCTTTTATAAGCTGAAAGAAGGTCTATTTTTATGTTTTTAGTTCTATGAATGGAACGTTGTAAATGCCTGTCGGAAATAAAATACTGGAGGAAAAAAAAAGTATAACTGCAGAGAGTGGTGTGTGGAGGCCACATGTGATGTGGAGCCTGTCACAGGAGGGCTGTGAGGTGGGAAGGGTGATACCAGGGAGGAGGTCCTGCATTCCCAGCTGCTGCAGCTCGGGAAGGAGCCCTCAGGTAAGGCTCTGCTAGTGTTTTGGTGAGGGGACAATTCCCATTTCCCTTATGGCATCCATAACCAGCCATTCCTGCTGCTTTTCCAGGCTGGTCACAAAGAACCTTCAAGTGAGTATTTCAAAGAATGAGATAAAAATCAGCAAATTTCAGAAGAATTCCAGGTGCATTGGAGGAGCTCCCCAGTCTCTCCATGGCCAGTCCCTGTCCCTCTGGGGTGCTGGGTTTAGCCCAAACTTGGGGAGTGTGCTGTGGGTTGGTGGTGGCACAGCAGTGGGACAGCATGGGCACCCCACAGATGGAGCTGGGGTGACGGTCTCTGGGGAATGACAAAAATGGCACAAAAAATAGGAGGGAAATGGCTTTAAAATGGAGTGGGGTGTGTGCAGCATGCCTTGCAGCAATGCAACGTTTGCTGCTTCAGCAGGATTCTTTTTGGCTTGTAAGGCTACCAGGCTAATCCAAACTCCTCAGCAAATTGGGGAAGTGGTGAGAAGAAGACAAAGTGAGGGCTTCAAGAAGAAAGCATCACAGCAGTGGTGACAAGTTACATGGGTATGCCAGCTCTGCAGCTGGAATACTTTGGCTTTAAAATCCTGTGCTGCCACCAGCCAGAAACAGGATGACAGAGAAATCCTCCTGCAATTCCTGCAATTCCCTGTGCAGTTCGGAGAGGTGAGCACCAATACCTTGGTTTTGTGCCAGGCCAGACTTGGGTGTCCCCCATGGCAGAGAGCTGTGCCAGATCCCTGGCTGCCAGGGTGCAGTTAATTGGTAACCTCTCTGCCATCACACCTTGGTTTAACAGCCAAGTGATCTGCTTCTGGGGAAAAAACTGTATGAAACAAAACAGCTAACTCAAGGAAACAATTAGAAATACCACACTGAAAAATAAAGAGGGCTTGAAATTAATTAATGTTGCAGGAAACAGATCCAAGGCAGAAACTTGGATCCATCAAGCTGCAGAGAGGTGTGAATAAAATATCAAATATGTTCTAGGCTGTCCATGGATGGAGGACAGGCTCTGAATCAGTGCCTAGGGTGCTCGGAGTGTGTCAGGAGAGAGCAATTTGCCCGTGACCTGAGTGCTGGAGAGATAGAGGTAAGCCCAGAGAGGAACACAGGCAGTTCTAGATCAGCTGGGCACAGGAGCCACAGGAGTTTAAAATGGCGTGCTGCATTTTAAACCCAACTGCCCAGCTGTGGTTCCAGCAGCTTTTTCCTTCAGTTCCTGGAGAAAAACCTGCTGCCTTCTGGGTTAGTCCAGCAGGAATCGTTTATCCTTAAGTTTCCTCCGTGGGAGCCTGGAGGCTTCTTTGGCTGCATGGGCTTGGGTTTAGGATAAAGGTTAGGGTTAGGGTTAGGGTATGGGTTAATGTAAGGATTAGGGTCAGGCCAGCCCTGCATGCTCCTCCCAAACATGCTGAAGACTTTTCCTCGCTCATCAAAGCTGACACCTGCAGCACAGCACAACACCCCGGCGCTCTGGAGTGTTGCCAGTGATTCTTGCTGAGCTGGCAGGGTCCGTGCTGTGCAATGACCGCTGCCAGGGCGGGAGTGGCCGTTCTCTCTCTCGGTAAATCCGGGATTCTCCGCCGCTCCCGCTCCGTTCCAGCCGCGGCCGGCGGGTGTCCCCCTTGCCCCACGAATCCCGCCCGGCTCCTCGGAAACCCGGGAAAGCCCATGGCCACCGAGTGACTGGCAGGCAGTCGGCAGCAGCATCCCCCGCTTTTCTGGCGCTGCAGAACCGTCCCATGTCAGGCCTCGAGCGTCATTCCGTTAAGGAAAGTAATTTCCAGGGATGAATTCGGCTTCTCTTCATCTCAGCAGAGATTAAACCCCATTAATGAACTCCTCAAGGGGCATTAGGGAGCCGAGCAGCTCTGTGGCTGTTTCAGGGTGGTGAGGCTGGCAATGAGCTCAGTGCTGGAGCAGGTAGAGGGGTGTGGAACTAAGCCTGGGGAAATGCACTCAAAGAGAATCTGCTCCGTCCCCTGCCACAGGTTCTAGGAGAGCACTAAAAAAGCCCTTCAGATCTCCAATATGGAGTTAAAAGACTCAAGCTGAGGGAGAGCATCAGCTCTCTTCGAGGTCACTGCAATACCAGACTATCAGCTGAATTATACACTGGAATACTCCAGGAAAAGGAGATTAAAAGAAAAGTTACTTGAAAAGATAAGATAACCCAATCCTCTGCCCCCTCTAGCCCTCATAAGACATTAGAAAATGAGCAGTTGGTAATTAAGAGATTTTTAAATGACCCTTCTTTGCCTGTCTCCTCTGTAAAAAAGCAGAGAAAGAGCTGTTGGTTAAAGGTGGTGTTGTGAGACAGGCCTGTTTTATTTAGGATACTTAGCTGCCACACATTCTCCTGCTAACAATAACAGCAGTTACACCTGGAGCCTGGAGCAGATCTTTTTGGGAAGCACAGTACATCGATTAAGCTTTCTCTTGGATTCCTATTCTCTCTACTTCCTAGCGGCAAGGAAACAAAAAAGAGATGAGGAAGGGCTGTCCCCACATTTAACTGTGTTGTTTTAC